AGCTGTGGATATGGCCAAACCCCACAACCAACCAGCCTGAGGGTCATTCCCACCCACTGATGTGCCAATAGCAATCAAGGCTCAACTATAATAGTAGGGCGCACACACAACCCACACAAGGGACACAACTGGAGCACCCAGTGCAGGTGACCAGGGAGACTGCACCACTGGCCCCACAGGGTACCTACTATATAAGGCCACCCAGCAAGACTAGGAGATATAACAGATATACCTAATACATAGAAACAAACACAGAGAGGCAGCCACAATGAAGAAACAAAGAAATGCATCCCAAATGAAAGAACAGGGAAAACTCAAGAAAAGGAGCTAAATAAAATGGAGACAAGCAACCTACCAGGGACAGAATTCAAAACACTGGTTATAAGGATATTCAAGAACTTAGTGAGAACTTCAACAAAGAGATAGCAAGCATAAAAATGGACATAGAAACCATAAAAAAAACAGTCAGAAATGAAGAATACAATAATTCAAATGAAGAATGTACTAGAAGGGAAGGAATCACCAGCAGACTAGATAGAGCAGAGGATGGAATCAGTGATTTGGAAGACAAGGTAGCAGAAAACACCCAGTCGGAACAGCAAAAAGAGAAAAGAATCCAAAAAATGAGAATAGTTTAAGGAACCTCTGGGACAACATCACCCGTAACAATATTCACATCATGGGTGAACTAGAAGGAGAAGAGAGAGAGCAAGGGATTGAAAACCTATTTGAGGAAATGATGATGGAAAAACTTCCCTAATCTGGTGAAGGAAATGACATATAAGCCCAGGAAGTGCAGAGTCCCAAACAAGATGAACCTCAAGAGTCCCATACCAAGACACATTATAATGAAAATGCCAAATGTTAAAGACAAAGAGAGAATCTTAAAAGCATCAAGAGAAAGATAGCTAGTAACTTATAAGGGAGCCCCCATAAGATTGTCATCTGATTTCTCAACAGAAATTTTGTAGGCCAGAAAGGATGGGCAAGACATATTCAAAGTGATGAAAAGCTACGACCTACAACAAAGAGTACTCTACACAGCAGGGCTAGCATTTAAAATTGAAGGAGAGATAAAGAGCTTCCCAGACAAAAAGCTAAATGAGTTCATCACCACCAAACCAGTATTACAAGGAATGTTAGAGGGAATTCTTTAAGATGAATATATATATATATATATATATGAATATTAAAATGGCAATAACTACATATCTATCAACAGTTGCTTTCAATGTAAATGGATTAAATGCTCCACCCCTCATAGGAGGGCTGAATGGATAAGAAAACAAGACCCTTACATATGCTGCCTACAGAGACACACTTCAGATTGAAAGATACTCACAGACTGAAAGTAAAGGGATGGAAAAAGTTATTCCATGAAAATGGAAAGGAAGAAAAAAACCTGGGATAGCAATACTTATACCAGACAAAACAGACTTTAAACAAAGGCTATAACAAGAGACAAAGAAGGACCCAGTAATCCCACTTATGGGTATTTATCCGAAGAAACCCAAAACGCTACTTTGAGGGGACATGTGCATCCATACGTTCATTGCAGCATTGTTTACAATGGCCAAGATGTGTAGGTAGCCTGGGTGAATGGATAAAGAGGTAGTGGTACATACCAGGGGTGCCAAAAAAATGTATACACATGACTTGTATTCATATTTTGTTATTGGTACATATTGAGTATTACAATTTAATACATTTTTTTTCCTTTCTTAAAATGTGTATATACTTTTTTTTTGGCACCCTCTGTATATACAATGGAATATTGCTTGGCCACAGAATGGAATGGGTTCTTGCCATCTGCAGTAGCATGGATGGACCTGGAGGGTCCTGTGCTGAGTGAAGTATGTCAGACAGAGAAAGACAGATGCAATGTGATTTCACTTATATATGGATTCTAAAGAACAAAATAAACAAAACAGAAACAAACTTATAGATACAGAGAACATTTTGATGGTTTCCAGATGGAAGGTGGGTTGAGGAGGTGGGTGAAAAAGTGGAAGAGATTAAGAAGTAAAAATTGGTTGTTACAAAGTAGTCTTGGGGACATAGGATATAGCTTAAGGAATATGGTCAATAATATTGTAATAACTATGTATGGTGTCAGATTTATTGGGGTGATGGGAGAGGAATTGGGGGATGGTGAAAAAGGAGAAGGGATTAAGAAGTACAAATTGGTAGTTACAGAATAGTCATGGGGATATAAAACATAGGGAATATAATTAATAATATGGTAATAATTAGGTATAGTGCCAAGTGGGTACTAGACTAGTCAGGGTGATCAGTTCTTAAATTATATAAATGTCTAAACCCTATGCTGTACACCTGAAAACAATATAAAATAATATTGAATGTCAAGTTTAATTGAAATTTTAAAAAGGTGGAGGGGAATAGAAGGTCCAGATTTCCAGGTGTAAAACAAATATGTCATGGGGATGTAATGCACAGCATGGGGAATATAGTCAATAATATTGTGATAGCGTGGTATGGTGTCAGATGGTTGCTGGATTTATCACGGCGATCACTTCTTTAGGTATATAAATGTTGAATAACTATGGTGTACACCTGAAACTCATATAATATTATATGAGTATGTTAGCTAATATTTAAAAAAATAAAGGGCCAGATAAGTTTTGGACCATAAAACAAAGACACAAAAAACCATGCATGTAGCTCTCAACAGCAAAGGAACAAAAGAATGTGTTAATTCGTGCATTCATTCTTGTTTCAAAAAGGATTTAAGGCAGTGGTCCCGTCCCTTTGAAAAACCATGGTGCTTGGGGTGAAGAATGCAGGTGACTCTGAAGAGGCTTTAAAATGGATAATCCAAAACCTTGACAGGTGTTATTTCACTAGTGTGGACTGTGCTTGTTTTGTGGGGTACTGTATAAGTCCCATTTTGCCTAATAATAACGATGGTCCTGATGGTGAAACTTTGCAAGTGTTTAAAAAAAAAATTCGTAGTTCCAAAGTACTCTGCCATCTATTTAGTCTCCTTTGATATCCTCCCTTATGAAGAAGGCAGGGAAGATGTAATCCCAGTTTCACAGATGGACAATAGGAAGGAGAGGCTGAGTCCCATGCGCGTTTCTTCTCCCACCTCCAGTGTTTTTTCCTTTGGTCCTCAGTGCCTGACTCCCCCTCCCGGATCTCAGCCCCTTTGGTGGGCCAGTCATCTAGTCTTACCTGTTCTCTATCCCTGACAGCCCGCCTCCCTCCATTTCCCTCTCTTATGCTTTAATTCACGCCCCTGTGGGTCCTTACCTGGATCACGCGTGGCAGCTCTCTAACTTGTGTCTCTGCCTCCAGGCATGGTGCTGTTCATTGCTGCCATAGTAAACTTTTCAAAACTCAAATGTCATCATTTTCCTGTAGCATTTGAATTCTTCAGTGTTTCCATGTTGCTTTCAGGATCAAGTCCACACCCTTCCACGTGGCACCTAGGCCATCCACAGCGGCCTCATCCCCTACCATGCCTGCTTCCCCTGTTCCCGCTGCACTGCAGCCTCATTCCCAGTATCCTTTGCAGCTGCACCTCTGCCTAGGATGGCCCCCCACACACACACACACCTGACCACCCCTGCCTATTCCTGGGTTTCCCGTTCACCCTTACCTGCTACCTCACCATCTCCACCCCAGCCAGAGTCAGGCTCTCGCCTGCCTTGGCTCCCTGTGTTGCTGTCTTTACTTGTTGGTACCACGTACCTGTCTGTAGATAATGGTACATTTATTTTGTCAGCCTCCTTGCGAGGTCTGTGCACTTTGAAGCCAGGGCAGTGTCTTCTATCCATATTTTGACAGTTAGCCCGGTGCCTCTCACAAGTACTTTCCTTGCCACCCCTCTCACCCCCTCACTGTCACATTCTCCCAGCCTGGGGTGGCAGATGTTGTGGGTTCACTGTTGGAGTGCCCCAGTCAGCTCATTTGTGGCCACCCTGAAACTCACCTACCTTCTGATAACTGCATGCCAGCAAAGAGAGGTGACTCATGTGTATGTGACTCAGCACGAATGTGTCACAGCTGGAAAGGCGGCCTGTGTGTGCTGGTGGGAGGGATGTTTACCAAGCCGCAGAGATCCAGGCCTGAGTTCACAGCTCCTGCAGCCCTGTGTCCTGCTAACCCGAAGGTGGGTGTAAACCCTCCTCTGTCCATGGAGGAAGAGGCTGCACCAGCAGAGCTTTAGGAGACTTACATACCTGGGATTCTGTCTGAGTGATTACTATTAAATATCATTCTAATAAACTATCATTTATTGCGTGCTTACCATGGTTTTTGGCACTGTGATAAGCATCTTGCCTACAAATTATTTTATTCTCACAGTAATGTAATTCTCCCAGCATCAACAATAAAATCAAAAGAAAATGCATGTATAGCAGTTACTTTATACCAGATATTATTCTAAGCACTTGGAATTTACTAAGTCATCTTATTCTCATAGTAACCCTATGATACAGGAACTGCTATTATCCTCATTTTACTGATGAAAAAACTGAGGCACAGAACGGTCACATATAGAGGAGCCCCAAAGTCACATAGGCAGTAAATGACAGAGCTGGGATACCGACTCAGGCTTCTGAGTCCACATTCTTAACCACCCCCTGCTCTTTGCTGCTATGCTTTCTCAATGAAGTGTAACTATAGTTCCCATTTTACACGGGAGGAAACTGCAGCTCAGAGAGATTGGCCACTTACCCATAGTCACACAGCCAGGAAGTGATCGAGATTGGTTGTCTCCAACCTCTGGTTTGTAACCACTGTACCCTCCTGCCCAGACAAATTGTGGTGGTCTTGGTTCTCCTTAGCCCTCCCCAGGGGCACTTCTCAAGGGCCATGTTCAGAGGCTGGACAGGATTCAGGGGAAGAAACTCTTTCTTCTAAATCTAGGGTTTAACACAAAAGGGAAGCATTTTCCTCCAGATCTCCTTTCAGTTTTGAGTCCCAGAGCATTTCCTCGCCCCAAGGATGCTGACGTGGTCTCGTTGCCTCCTCAGACAGCGAAACTGTGCACTACCACTACGGACCGAAGGACCTGGTCACAATCTTGTTCTACATCTTCATCACCATCATCTTGCACGCCGTGGTTCAGGAGTACATTTTAGATGTAAGTGACGTGTCTAGATTCCAAAATCAGAAACTGGGGAGATGTCTTGGGTGGGAGGTGCTTGCCTTGGAGGAAACTGCAGCTTTGATCCTGTGAACCCCCTAATCTGCATGCCCTGGTGGGTTGTGTTGACTGGATTTGCCCCTTCTTACAGCCTTCTTCAGTCAGCGCATGCAACAGCAGTATTTATTACCCAGGGAGAGAGCTACCTGCTATATGACAGCGTCCTTATGGATCTGTCATGTAGCATGATTCGGGGATGTTTTCTTTACATCTAGGCTGAAGACATTAATCCTGCTGCTTTCTCAAAATGCTTACGCCAAGCACTGTATGCACACAGTAGGTTTACACTAAACAACTTGGATTAGGCTGGCTTCAAACTTCAGCCCGTTCATGGGGAGAAGCAGGAATTTGAAACCTGTCGGCTACCAGTACGCTTGTATATATTAATATGTGGGATTGTCTTTATTCTTTAGAAAATCAGCAAACGGCTTCATCTCTCTAAGGTCAAACACAGCAAGTTCAACGAATCTGGACAGCTGGTCGTCTTTCATCTCAGCTCGGTGATATGGTGCTTCTACGTGGTGGTGACGGTGAGTGGTCCCCAGGAAGGCAGAGGGGCGGGGCTTGGGCCACCAGGCAGTGCAGCTCTTCCTGGGTTGCTAATAGGATAACTGCTAAGGGCTTAGCGGGGAAGAAAAAAAGTAAGGAGCACTATGGATGGAAACTTGGAGTTTCTTAGAACTGACGCTATTTTTGCATCCTCCTGGTATTGTGGTGAGAGAGAGACCAGATGATATAGATGCCATTCTGTAGCTGGAGAGAGTCATCTTGTCCAAAAATAAACACTTGTTATAGTTATTATGTGAAGTTACAATAATGATACTGTGTATCTAGATAGCAGTGTATCATTTTACAGGACGCTCCCACAAACACTATCCCAAGTGAGATAAGTTTTATGTTCATTCGGGTACCCGTGTTATTGACTGTAGAAACCCAAGCTCACATTTCACAGTGTGCCCACGGTCACGTGCTTTCGAAGTAACAGGGACAGGTCTTGGACTTGGGGATCTGGCTCTAAATCCAGTGCACTTTCTGTTTTATTGCATTGGCCTCCTGCAAGCAAGGCCAGCATCCCCTTGTCTGGACATCAAATCCTTTGAGAGTCAGTGCTATTCCTACAAATGCCTAGAGGACCAGACAAATTACCTACCTCCCCATCTACAAAATAGGACTCTTATTTCAAGCAACCTTTGATATGGCAAAATTCCTTTGTGCAAAGGAATGTGGACAGTCCTTTGGGGTTCACTGTAACAAGACCCAGCCTGTCCTGCTAAGGAAGTGTTTAATTAGCATCCCCCCCACAACCTGGAGCACCATCTGTCTGTAACCTGGGCTCTTTCTCAGGAGTGAGAAGTGTCCTGTAAGACATGCAGCCCTGGGGTTGGAAAATTCAGCAACCCCGTGACCTTTTAGAAATTTCCTTGGGTGCCTCCCACTGACCCTGTCATACCCTTCCTCTTCTCCCTTTGGTGACAGTGGTAAACTTTTGCAACTTAAGGAGCTCTGCCTCCACAGCTGAATGCTGAATTCATATTCTCAGAGAAGTCAACATGTTCTTTTGTATGTTCCTTTGATTTCTATATCTATTTAATCACGGAACAGTTTTCCTAGACAGAACACTAGGAATTTTATATGCAGGACCTGAGATTTCTGTCCTGTGAAACAGGGCTGCCGTGTCACTCTGTCCCCAGGACTTAGAGGTGGTCTGGGCGAGCAGCGCCTTCCCCCGCC